AGAAGGTCCAGGTTCAATTCCTGGCCATACTTTGGCTCTCTTGTTTTATTTGCCTTCCATGTCCTGTTACTCAATCCCCCTCCATAACATCATTTTTGCTTGAGTAGAACGGTGAGACATGGAAAGGTTAAACTTGGTATGGACGTGCCTAATGAGACGATGTGTTCAGGAAAAATGCAAAATTTTAGATTCATGCCCTGGGGGCATATTTTTGTAAGCCGACGTTTTCAAGTCCTTTTTTGTTCTGGCATATTAAGCGGAGTGCAAAGATGAAACTTGGTACGTAACTACCTATTGGGATGCTGCAAAAAACTTCAGACTCTAGAAATAAATGCCCTGTGGGCACAAATTTCAACAAAGTCATAAAATGGCATCAACCGTACCAGAGGCAGCGTTTGTGCAATGAAGCGTGCTTTAGAACACAAGACTTCATATATAACAAGGCCTAACATCACGCTTTAATGCAATACTATTGCCTGTGGTTTACGGAAATAATAGTTAGTGCAACTAACTATATTCAGATGTAATCAGTAATGTTGTTTATTACCCTGCCTATTATAAATAATTTTTGACTATAAATGTAAGGCAGTCTCTGCTGATTATTCAGATTGTTCTTAGAATTTCCTTTTAATAAAGATATTCTCATCTCTGTCTACTTCCTTCCGAATGTGTTTACGGACAACACAATATACTTGAGAATGATATCGTAGAATTCTTATTGTTTAACATTTTTGAACGATTCATATGTCTATTCTAATTTTAAGAAGCAGGTACGTCTATTACCAGGTTTAATATGTATTGTAACGCAGCAAAAGAGCTTAATTCAAAGTGTTCCTTCCACCTCCTAAGTATATCCGTCTCGGCAGCCAACTCCTCCCCGTTCCTGTGTTTGATGACCCGGAACGTACGTTGCTTGCCTTGCCGTAACCTTCGGATGGTTTGTCAGAACACCTTGATGGCAGAGCGGTAGTCTGATTCCATTTGATCGCCGAATTCCTTCCACGCCTCCTGTTTCGTTTGGCCACAACACAAGCAGCAATTCGTCGCGCCTCGGTACAGCGCGCCCTAAAAGAATCAGACCTACTGGACATGTACGCCCGGTAGGCTACTTTCTTGTCAGTGACAGCCTCGCGCACTGCTGGTGTGCACTAGGCCATTCGCTTGGCGTTACCGTGAGCCACTCCGATGCGCTTCTCCCCACACACTCTTGCTGCCGCCTCCGAAACACCAAACCGAAATAGAGTCCATTCGGTCTCTACATCTGACGTCTGGGGAGGCAGTTGGGAGTACTTCTCGCCGATCTCCATCGCAAATTCGTCACGAGTTTCTTCATCGCGAAGGGCTTCCCACCTCACTCGTCTTTCAATGCGTGCGGTTCTCTGCCTCGTTCTAAGATTCGCTCGTATCCGAAGTTTGCTGACCACTAGATGATGATCGATGCTCAGTTCTGCCCTACGCCACACCCTCGTATCCGTCACAAGGCCCCACAAGTCCGCCGAAACGATCACGTTACCGATCAGCGATTGCTGGCACACAGTACCAGTCCGGCAATCAGACCCCATGTGCCGGGTAAACTTGTGGATATCTTTGTGCTGGAAGAAGGTTTTGGTGATGGTCAGGCCATTGTCAGCACAGAAGTCCAGCAAGTTTCTGCCACTCCCGTTCGGCGTGGCTTCCCCAAATCGGCCCATCACACCACTCCATGTAGCATCGTCTATCCCAACTCGTGCATTGAAGTCTCCCATCAGCACAACGCGGTCGCCGTTCGGAATCCTTTCTAAGGTTCCATCCACCTCCTCCAAAAAAAACATCGTAATCAGGCTCGCTGTTCGACCCGTAGACCTGAACGACAGCCAAGACTCCGACTTGCTCGAGTCTGAGACGGATCAGAGCGACACGCTCGCATACTGGGTTCCATTCGATGAAGCTTTCGGCCAGTTGGGGACTAATGAGTATCCCTATTCCAGCCTGAGCAAGCACGGTCGAGTCGATTCCGCTCCAGTAGAGGGTCCATCCGTGGTCTAGAGAAATCCGTGAGAGAACCGGTGCCTTTCCTCTTGGTTGAGGCTAGGCCAACTATATCTAGTCGTCTCCTCCTAGTCTCCTCCACGAATTCAGGCTTCAGGAAGGAGCATTTTGAAGAGCTCTTAAACCCTCCAACACTGGACACTGACCTTCCCGACCTGGAGCCTCTCAACGCGGAGACTAGTCTCACCATGGAGGAAGTTCTGTAGGCCATTGCTAGCCTGAAGAATGGGAAGTCTCCTGGTTTGGATGAAATCCGGGCGGAGACTCTGAAAGCAATGAGTACAGATGGGTGCTCGTGGCTTTATAGGGTCTGTCAGGCTTCTTGGGAATCGGGAACGACACCTACGGATTGGCAAACCGGTGTGGTGGTTCCTCTTTATAAAGGGGACTCGAGGGAGTGCACGAACTGTCGTGGAATCACTCTCCTCAGCATACCTAATAAAGTCTATTCCAAGGTGCTGGAAAAGAGAACGCGGGCCGTTGTGGGTGATGCCATCCAAGAGGAGCAGGGCTTTCGTGAAGGGTGCAGCACCACGGACCAGGTGTTCACTCTCCACCAGATCCTCGAGAGACATTGGGAGTAAGCCAAAGATGTCTACATGTGCTTTGTGGACCTTGGAAAAGCTTACGACTGTGTAGCCCGAGGAAAACTGTGGAGAGTGCCGCAGGAGTATGGGATCAAGGGTCAGCTTTTGCGGGCCGTTCAGTCCATATACAGCGATTGCAGAAGCTGCGTCCGAGTGAGCGGGAGGAGTTCGGATTGTTCTCTGGTACGCGCTGGACTCTGGCAGGGTTGTGTCCTCTCACCTTTCTTGTTCCTCGTGTACATGGACAGGATCTGTAGGCGCAGCCTCGGCCTGGTGGGGGTCAACATCGGTGACGTCGCGGTAAGGATACTTCTCTTGGCCGACGATGCCGTTCTTTTGACCCGCTCTCGACAGGAGCTCCAGAGCGTGCTCGATCAGTTCGACTCCGAATGCACTGCGGCCGGAATGAAACCGAGCGTCTCCAAGACACAGGTCATGGTCCTCTCGAGAAATCCTGCTCGGTGCACCCTGCATGTCAGTGGGGTCCCACTGGAACAGGTGGAGAAGTTCAAGTATCTTGGGGTCTGGTTCTCGAGTGACGGGAGATACGGAAACGAGTTCGACAACCGCATCTCCAAGGTTTCTGCAGTTCTGCGGGAACTTTGGCGAACCGTGGTTGCCAGATCTCGGGTTTCTCGGGAAGCAAAACTCTCGGTTTTTAAGAGTATTTATATCCCCACCCTCACCTATGGTCATGAAATTTGGGTGATGACCGAAAGCACCAAATCGCGTATACAAGTTGCCGAAATGAGGTTCTTGCGTCGAGTGGCTGGCGTAGCGCGCCGGGATCGGATGGGGAACTCTGCCATCCGCGAGAGGCTCCACGTCGAGCAGCTGCTTCTCCATATCGAGGGGTCTCAGCCCAGGTGGTTTAGTCACGTCTGCCGCATGCCCCCTGAATGGCTCCCAAGAGGAGTCTTCCAGGCCGAGATGACCGGCAAAAGACCTGTCGGTAGACCTTGTACAAGGTGGAGTGATTACGTCGCTCGGCTTTGTCACGAGAGGCTCGGCATCCCACCAGCTGAGCTTGAGTCTGTTGCCCACGATCGAAATCACTGGAGGACGCTCCTGGGAATGCTCGAATCGCGAACCCATTAAGTTGGGAAAAGCGGCCAAGAAGACGTATGTATGTATGTACGCAGCAAAAGAACTAACAACAAAATATTTGAACTTTCAAGACCTGTAACTCAATGAACAACTCTGCCACATTTGTGCCCATTGAAAACTTTAATCTACTCATCAAGATCTATCGATTGACAGCTATTTTGGTCTGTAACGCAGGGGGCGGCTTTTGGCATCCTCTTCGGCGTGGATGTGTGCGTGTGTGCATTGGCAAAAATGCAGAAGAATTTTGGAAATTTCTTTTTTTTTTCATTTCGGATGTCAAGGTTTTGCATATAGTTGAATCAATTGTGATTTTGTCAGAAGCCACTATGTATTACCCTGTTGATCCACTGGGTGAACCTGTAGGGAAGAAAGAGGAAAACGTATTTTTTTATGAGAAGGGAGGACAGGGATGCGAATGATGAAATTCAATAGGATTAAGCGGATCTCACCTATTAACTTTGGTGAAAATGCCATACTGCCCTGGGCGTCTCATGGAACAAGCACCTTTCTGGAAAAAGTGACTCACGATCCCTTCCATCGTCCAGTGGTTGTCATGTGATGTATTGGAGAAGAAGACCATGGGACTCCCCGAATCCCCTTTACACACTGTTCGAAAATCTGCGCAGAACAAATCATCATGATTATTGCTTTATTCATTTTCTAAAAGATATTGCAGTGAAGAATCAGTGTTACTAAAAAATGCATGAAGAAATCTAATGACAATATGCAAATCAAGGTTTATCCATTTGTGTATCTGATTGGAAAGAAAGTTCTCGGAATTTCATGAACAATTATTACACCCAGTTTATTTAAAAGCAAAATCATCTCAATCATGAATGTAATCACCATTGGCCTCTATCACTTCACGCCAACGTTTATGCAAACTATGGATGCCATTCCAATAGAACTCTGGCGGCTGCGCTACGAAAAAGTTGGCCAAATCGGTTTTCAGGTCGTCTTGGTTGGCGTACTGCTTTCCACCC